CCGCGCGACCAATTTCGAGTTCCCGGCGGCCCCCCCGGCAAAATAAAAGGCGTTGCGCGCGTCACGTGGGCTCGGCTAGACATAACCTACGAGCTCGCATGCAGAAACACGGATTTACGCGGACGAACCGTCGTTTTAAGCGCAAACGTCACGCACGTTGACTACTTTTAGCCTGCGGAGCAAACAGAGCTTGATCTAACGTGAGACAGCGCTGTATTAAATGGATGTACATGGAACGCGACGTATACGATACGGCACGTGACGTCACACCACCGACCAACGTCATAACCACAAAAGGACCGTTCGACGCAGGGGTCACCCTGTCAATTAAAACGCGAGTCTAACGAAGAAAGCGGGACGAGTCGCCTCTTAAGGGGGACCACCCCCCCACACCTCCTCGCCCCTTCCGGGGATAACTACTCGACCCCAAAGAAATTGCACCTGCGAGTGACTTTAATTACGCGAGATGAAGTGAAATGAGGTATGAGCAGAGCCGAGTACAGGTACGGGCATGAATCGTGGTAGCCCCCTGCCTTATGGTAATTAAGCATTATTTTCCTTTTTCCTTACCCCATACAACGTTCCGCGTTGACGTCATATAGCCAATTCGATAATCCCTTATAACAGTTCGCGAGGTCACGAGACTCAAGCGTAATCACGTTTGCGTTTTGCTGCCGCGTGGCCGAGGCAACTCGAGATAGGAAGTTAGTGGGTCACGAATTTTCGGGGTTATGTACACATACGACTAATGTTATTACGCGTGGGTGTACGGTCGGCCGAGATATTCGGGCGACGTCTGTCGTGGATTTGCCGTCGTTGAATTGAATATCGAGTGAAAGGGTTATGTGGGCTTAGACTGGCAAATGCTATTGGCTCGTGTTTCTGGGCGATTGTCCATTGTCTCTCTCGTCGGCTGAATAATGCGCACGCTGAAATGGGGGATGAAGGAAGGCCTTGAGATTACACTGTGGCACGGCCGCGTGGAATTCTGGAATTCTACACCTTTTAATTGTACGGAGCTCGGGGCTCCGATGAGTATCATTGTCGTCGCTGGCATAGTACAGATAGACGGTTGATAACTGTAATCGAGTGCTCTCAATGCAATTTAACGAGGCGTAAGGAGCGGTCTGCGTACGTGCGCGCAGGTACAGTCTTGGCAATCGAGGGTAAGTCGGAGCAGATGATGGTGACACCTGCCGGTCCTATGTGACTTATACGGGTGTGTATACAGGGTGGGGCGTTTATAGTGATCGGAGGTCCTGTTTTTTTTTTTTTTTTTTTTTTTTTTTTTTTTTTTTTTTTTTTTTTTTTTTTTTTTTTTTTTTTTTTTTTTTTTTTTTTTTTTTTTTTTTTTTTTTTTTTTTTTTTTTTTTTTTTTTTTTTTTTTTTTTTTTTTTCGGAAACGAAGCCAGATGCGAAATAATGTTTCGGACAGAGGTTATAGGGTTTCAAGGGGGACGGAAGATACCGTTATCGAATTTCTCTCTGAGTGCAGGCGTTAAGATAAGAAAAAGGTCAACTTTCATTTTTTTTTCCTCAATGGAATCATGCAATTTTCCCGCCGGAAATCAAGGGAGCAGTCGACTTTTAGTCCGAAGGTGCAAGTACGCTAATGACCCAAAATTGACAGGTGATATTTTCAAAATAAGGAAATAATGCGCGTTATGGGTAGCCCACGTGCTTACCTGGGACACATTGTGAATGCGGCTTAAAGCGTAACTTGACTAGGGCTATTATCAGGCTAGGGACGTTAAGGATGTCTGGCTTAAGTTACGTTCGCGTTTCGCGCTTCACTAGGACTCGAATTTCTTGCGGAATGTGGTGGAAGGAAGACGAGAGAGAGGTGATAGTGGATACCAGGTCCCAGGTAAGATAGAGAACGAATGTTTTTTCTTAATTTTCAAATATCTTTACCGCTTGTCAATTTTTGACGATCAGTGTACCTGTACCGTAGACTCAAAGTCGAAAAAATTTTTCATTTCCGGAAAAAAAAATTGTCATTCCATTGAAAATATAAAAAATTATAGTCGACCTTCGCGTCGCCACTTCTGCCCGAAATATTTTTTATGTCAGGCATAGTTTTCGAAAAATCGACCTGGCCGCTATAAATGCCCCACCCTGTACACAAAGAACGAGACTCATCACGGTCACACGCTAGATGCCATTGCATTCCGTGGTGTTACGCGCCATTGGTAAAAAGCGGAAATGACGAATCCACCTGGAGAAGTACGTACGGGCAGTACGAGAAGAGTTGTATACGTGACTGTACCCGAACGTTTATATACGTATATAAAGTAGATTGGGACTCAAAGAAAGTTCGTCGATTGTTGGAAAAGTACTCGGTGATCTATATGGAATCGTGCGCGAAGACGCGGACGAGAATGAGAGCCGAAGGTATAAGAAACGGAAGGACGAGAGAGCCATATCAATGGCGCGGGGAATTTCCCAATTTCCCGAGTGAAACGAGTAAGATCGGGAAGGACAGCGGGAAAGGAAAGAGTCAATAGGGAGATTCTCCGGGAATGCATTCGGCATTCGTCCTGAGGGGTAGGAGAGGGGCGGGGGGCTCTATCGGCTGATTGCGAGAGGGTTTAGAGAATCGGCTGGTGTGGGTATGCCGATTGCAGGCTAGCGTGAGAGAGAGAGAGAGAGAGAGAGACAGAGTTAGGAAGAACCGAAAGAATAGGACAGGCTGGTTGGATCGGTCAGATGCATCGTAGGAGAGAAGATGAAGAAGACGAGGAGAGGGGAGGGAGGTCAAACAAAAAAGGAATAGGAATGGTATACGAGGGTGAGGTTTACCCCTCCCCTCCAACCCCGTCCCACCCACCCAATCCCGATTTGACCCCCAAAATGCCGCGTGCATAACTTTGTGCTCTCTTGCCTAGAAGTACGCCGCGTATTGATC